TGACTTCTACATTTAAAAATAAGGACAAGTTACTTAGGAAAAAGAGTTTTTGCTTATGTTTCCACAGAAAATGTAAAGCTATTGATTCCTCCCAGACTAATATGGTTTGATGAAGCAAGACCCTCTGAAACAGTGTCCCATGTGATCCAACATCTGAAACAGCTAAGATGATACAGCCTTACAGACTACAAAATCAAGGACCTGGCCAGGTTTCTGTGTTTTATCATGATCCCCATTGTATGGACATTGCCCCCAACCACCAGGAAGAAGTTTGGAATGAACGACACTAATCAGTCTGTCAGATCTAATCATTAAGTTTTTATTTAATCATGACTAATAACAATGCGTAATCAGTCAACCCTGTAAAGAATGACAACATTCATAACCCTCCAAATGACCAAAAAGCCACCCAACCCACCTCTTCCAAATGTGGGGATTGTGTTTTCTAGACTATTTCCTGTTGTCTGGGGATGTTGGAATCTTCAAGGGACCCTGAACATTTTAAGATAATTATTAAGTCCTGGCCAAAATAGTATGTGAGGCTCGACCATCACACACAACAGCCTTGAGGCTGTTCTTAACATAGAACTCGAGGAAACTTCAACATAGGTAATCTGAGATGCTGGATTACCTAGGCTACTCATTTTTGTGGATATCTGGTCCCCTTGCTCTGACAACACATAAACTTCCAATGGTAACATACATATCTGTATTAACATAAGTGTGGACTGTGCATTGTAAAGAGCCAGTCAGAGATTATTTTCTGTTTTATATTTGAGCAGGTAAAATATATGCCATCTGTCTTATAGTTTTTCCAAGTCAACATTTTTATGTCTGTATACAGAATTTGCAGGGGGTTTTTGGCAATCAAATCTGTTTGTTCTCTGTGGAAACAAAAGCATAACCTCTACACCAATGCAACATATTTTTACTTATATTTTAAATTCATATAATTTTTAAATATAATGTTTAAATTAGCATTTTCCACAATCTAATGTTGCAGCGGGTATTGTTCAGTCATCAAAAATTAAAAAGTCAACAAAACACTATATAGAATACAGACTGTTTATTTTCCATATTTATATAGCATGATATTTTTATTACTTTACTTTCTCTTTAAAGGCTTTATTATTTTTAAACTTCTTATTTATTTTTGTGATTGTCTATACCCTTTCCCTTTTTTTTTCTTAAACCTATGCACATTGTTAAACACATTGTACCCTTTTTAGGGGTATTCATTTTTCAGTGTGAACCTGCTTTACTTCATATCTGTAACCATTTATGTGTGCATGAGAAAAATCTTAAACTCTCAAGCAGCTTAGCTCATGGTTCACTGACAGCTAAATACCTCAGGCAGCAGCCTGGAGACATGTCTCTGTACCACAACCTACATGAGAAACTACAGATTAGGAAGAAAAATTGGTTCCATTTTTCGGTGTTTGGAACATTTTTTTTTTTTAGCTTTCTCTGGTCTTATCTGGAAGTGCCTGCCCCCACAATAGAAAGCTTTGTAGGTGGATTTTTCATCAGGGCCATTTCATCAGAGACTTATTATTATATTATGAAAGCTTGGCAGATAGCATAGGCTTGTTTCTAACTAGCTTTTATAACATAAACTAACCCATATCTTTTAGTCCACATTCTTTTTGTGGTTCAGGTACCCTTACTCTCTACTGCCCATGCTGCTTCCTTTCCATCTGGTTGTCGACTCCAGCTTCTTCACCCAGTGTCCTCTGTACCTGGAAATCCTGTCTAGCTACTGGCCATTTAGCTTTTTATTAAATCAATCAGAGTGATAAATCTTCACAGTGCACAAAAAGATTATTCTACAGCAACTATTGAATATTTGTCTTATCTATGAATATGCACATGGGAATATACAACTAAAATATCCTCATAGAGCATACAGACACAAGCAGACACAAGCAGGATTTAATTCCTTTGCAGCTGGTATTACAAACTATTGTGAAGTGGCAACTTCATTACTCAGAATCTAACATAGGTATTCTTCATTGACAGTCTGTGCTTGCTACTATTGTGCCATCTCTTCCACAATAGGGCTAGTGTTATGAAAATTAAACTTAATTGAATTCAATAACATCAGTGACACAACAGAAAATATGATAAAATGCTTTGCTTCTAAGTGGATACCAACCAAATAGCCTCAGAACATGAATAAGTTGTATGTGGGGAGGGTAATATATAAAACAATGGAAGAAAGAAATGTTGACAGGAATCGACCCATGAAAAGAGAGATGTTTAAAATAAAATTTATGATTTGCATATTTCTATATTTTTCTGGGTACTGATTTAGAACTGTGTTTGTCTACACACCACTGATAAGCCAGAAAACAAGGATCCAGATGAAGGACAAAAATATATCTGTTTCTAAGAGTATGCATATGCAAAATGAATATATTAGAATGAGAAAGCTTGCTGGTCGGTGATGGTATATTCCTTTAGTACCAGCACTTGGGAGGTTGACCCAGGCAGATCTCTGTGAGGTGGAGACCAGCTTGCTCTTTTCATTAATATTTTTCTCTCATAAACCTCAGAATAAAATGTGCAGGTTTACAAATGAAAGCTTCATTTCCCCTTACAGATTTCTACTTATAGATTTCCCTTTAAATGTAAATGCACATTCACTCTTGTGCACAAACACACACCCGCCCAAAAAGTAAAGTCCTATATTTCTTTATTTTAGAATGCAAAACTTATTAGGAAATAAGTTATGTAGAATTGTAGGGGATGTTGTAGCCATGCCTGCTTAGGGGCTGCCTACAGGTGTGCCTGACCAAGCCTGCCAGGGCATGGTCAAGGTGACATAGGGAAATTTTAAGACTGAGGGATGCTCACATGACAGCGTGCTGCTTTCACTTTCATCTTTGGCTTGCTGCCGGCTGGCTCGCTTTGTAAGTAAAGCTTTTCCGCATTAAATTCCCTTGTACTTTTACCTGGCTCCATATTGGTAATTTCCCACATTATACAATCACTAATTGTTTAATCTGTAAAAGGTGTCCCTCAGAGTAGAAACCTGTTGTCAATATCATGAACATCACAAGGAGAAGGGAGTTGCAAGGAGAGATGTTCATAGGACTCTAGAACTTATGGGAAGCTTAAAGCAGGACTGAAGCTGCAGGACCAAAATCCAAAGTATGTTAGATATTGTTAGAGGAAAATTTGGAGAGCTTGGCCATTAGATACTATGTTGTTATTGTTACTTTATAGTTTTCATTGTCATGGTTATTATGATCATTATAATTATTTTTACTGACTGGAAGTCTGGTGAAATACCCATGTGTTATTTCCAGCCTTCCAGTATGCCTCACTGTATGCCCAAGTATGCCCAAGAAAATGAGCATATACCCTTCTTAAAGTCACCAGCACTCAATTTTCAGTAAAATCTTAATTTTTCTTCAAATCACTCAATTGTGTATGTATCCACATATATTTCTGCAGTCCATATATATTTGCTTGTTCTGCTTTTAATCTCAGACCTTTGCCTTGTGACATCATCATGAAGAGCTACACAGCAACTCACAATTCTGAGTGGGTTTTCTCATACTGATGACATCTCTCTAGAAGCTGTCTGCCATCCTTTCCCTTCTGTTCCTTGCACATTTCTGATTCTTGTGTATGGGCGTCTCACAGGATTCAGGAAGTTAGGGGACAATAACATCCACACAAGAAATCTCAAAAGAGAAAGGATAGGAACTCATGAATAAACGCATTTTTTCTAGGTTCTCAGAGGGACAGTTCGACAAAGTATTTTACTTGTCTGTGGAATTTCTCATGCTGAATCTTAATTACCAGTAGTTGTGACCAATTTAATACATTTCTGACATTGCTTTCATTCCAGGTTTTTCCATTAGGGTATATGCTAATTATTGAGTACTTGTGAATTCACATGGAATACTTTACACAGTAACCCTTTTCAGATGTATTTTGGTGATGTATTTTGGATTTTGAAATCCAAGGCTCAGTTTTTTGTTGCTTGTTAGAGAGATGCTTGATATTCAACCTGTATATTTTTGTCTTTTACATGTTTATTTAAATACATCAGATGTTATCTCATCTATAGAAATAGTAATATAATGGGAGTATTTCCTACTTTTGTATTAAATTCTAAACAATGACTCTTGGTATTTTTAGAAATCTTTCTTTTATTGTTTTTTTGATTTGTCTTCCACATTAAAAAAATCAACCTGTGTAATACACAGTTTTGAGTCATGCACAATGGTATGACTATTGTAATAAAATATTTAAATTGCCCAAGAAAAATGCAAGCTATGAAAAAGCCTGTTCACCCAAAATGGTATTTCTATTTGTATTATTTTCTTTCCTGTCCTGTAGTCATCTCACAGTCACAGGCATGGGAATGTATTTACATTTTCAACAATGCAGATTCATTCACACTGTGATGTTTCAGGCATTAACAGCAAAACATGAACACACTGTTCCAGTGCTCCACATTGCAACTCCTTTATATGTGGCTTGCACCTGTGGCAGAATCACAGTGCAGTGTGTGCACTGCTGATAGATTTAATTTACAGGTTGGGTGACTAGAGAAGTGTGTTTCAAAGTGTTCAGCCTTGTTAATGGGTAAGTACAAGCTGGAGGATTCCCACATGCAGGGGAAGCCAGCAGCTGTTTCAGCTGTGATTTACAATGCAAGCAAGGAAACAACTTCGTTGTTCTTTTTTCCTGACAGCTAACATGGCCACCCAACAACCATAAAATATTAGCTCCAAAAAGAATAAATTAAAAATATCAATAAAAATTATTAGCTCCATTTGGGTTATAATTCTCTTGACAATATGACTAAGTAGTGTGACTCCCAACATAAATGACAACACAATATTTTTCTTGAATTTTTTTATTGAAGCCAGTGTTTGACTTTTCCTCACAACCAGGGAGGTGTTAGCCTGTTCTATGTGTACAGGCTTAGTTCTCTGATATATATCTCTGATATACACTCTGATGGTTTCATTCAGGTATGACTTGCCTGTTGGGAGGATGTTGCTATGAAGATTTGTGACCAGAGCATTTGTTGTGGATACTGCTACTAAATCATCCTCCATGATTCCACTCAGTCAGTTCTCCCATGTGTGGACTATAGAAGTGACTATGTGACAGACAATATGGTAAGTTCCATGGCATGTGCTCATCGGAGAACTCTTTCCAAGATAAATCAATGTTGAGTGTTAATATAATAACATATACTGCTCTACATGCTTTAAAAAAACTCTGTAATTATAATGTGGAATGGGTAATTTTTTCTTTGTTTTCATTGTTGCACTCTACTGGCACTCGAGAACCAAAACCTTACTATATGCTATGTTAAAGCATCTCCTGTATTGAAGGACTAGAAATTGCATTGTTGTTGGAAGATTTCAGTCTATAAATCTATGTACACTTAGCTAGACTCTTTTTGAAAATATCCCTTTTATGTACATGTCAACATGACAGAAACTAATATTACTTTTTGCCTATTATATAATATCAGATAGTAAATGATTAAAGTCAATTGGTGCAAATATCCATATTTTACTTTATTGTTATTATTATTTTTACTATTAATGTTTATTTTTGACTGTCTAACATGTACCAACTGCATTTACTGACACTCTGGTGCAATGCTAACACAATAATATTTTAAAAGCCTTTTGTGGATATAATTTCATGTGCAGTTGTGATTAGAATAAAATTTCCTATAATATTATGCCATTATGCTATACCTTGGACTCTCTCTAGGTCTACTCTCTCTACTTTCTGCCTATTTCTCTCTCTTTTAAAATTCTAGTCTCCCTTATTTGTTTACCTGAAAGACCTGAATTGATACAGATATTGATATTTATTCAGTAAAGAAAGAAAAGGAAACGAAGGAAAGAACATAAGATATTTGGAACATGCTTGGTGGAAGGGCCAATGACAGCTCAGTGAGTAATGTTACTTTCTAAAACTCTTGAATTCTGTTATTGGAAATTATGAATGGTGAAAGGAAAGAACTGAGTCCACAAAATTGTCTTCTGACCACCACAGAAGCACTATAAGTAAACATATATAAACACATCATATATACCCACCCATAGCATCATCATCACCTATTAATAATAACAATAACATTCAGGAACTATAAATAAAAGAAAGAAAATTTTTAAATTTTACCTGTCTTCAAGAAAAGTTAAAATTATTCATGCATATTTGTAATAGCTATCTTAGTGACTATTGCTGGTTGATTCTGTGTATGAGAACAAGAATTGCAGGAGAAGGTCTACAGACAGCCTCTGTCTAGCCTTTTTGACAGCCTGACAAGCTATTGCAAAATCCTAGACTCAAATTTGGAGATAAAACTTCAAATTTAAAATAACAGTATTTTTAACCCCATGGGAAAAATGTGTCTCAAATGGCTCATGACCACAGGGATATCACATAGCTGTATTATCCTTTACATTACTGTTTTTAAAGTTCTTGTGTACATCTCTAAAGGATCACGGAAGGAAATAATCCATATGGGTTGTTTCAGCTGTGATGATTTTGGAGGGAACCAGGGTAATCTTACCACATAAAGACACTATTCACCATGTAAAAATCCACGGGAATGTCTTTAAAATGTATAAATTGAACGCATTGTGCTGCTGACCCCCTTTGGGAGAATTCTATCCAATATTTCCTTATAGTGCTTGTCTTGTTTCTCTTTGCTTTGCTAAAATAAATTCTCCTTAAATTGCTGGTGTTGTAAATTTCTTTGTATGTGTCTTGTGAATTTCTTTTGGAAATGTAAAATTCTATACCTATTATGAAACACAACTTTGTAGTTCCTCAGAGGATGCACATGTACTGACCACTGACACAAAAATATTGCTCTTGTGTACATGTAAAATAAAGCAACATTATGACCACTAAATTCTTGATTCAAATATTCATAGCAGTGTTTTTAATCTGATAAGTGAAAAATAGGAATATATCTAATGTCTGTTGGTTGCCAATGGATGAACAACATATGGAAAATACAAACTATGAAGTAGAAATATAGTGCAATAGATAAATCTTGTCATCATTATGCCTAAAATGGAAGCCAAAACATGGCCATGTAGCATGAATCCACTGTGTAATACAATTAATCTATCAGGGAAACAAATAAATTAATGGTGGTTAGGAACTGTTTCAGGTGTAGAAAAGGATAATGAATTATGGCTAATGAATACAGGTGTATGTTATGTATGAATAAAACATTGTAAAGCTGAGTGACAATGAGAGTTGTAAAGTTTGCATATATTGTAAAATCCATTATAACTTTAAATCTCATGAGTGTTTGCCATGTTGAAGGAGAAACAGCAGCATCGTACGGGAAGCAGAGAAACACCAGAAACGATAAGAGAGATGATTCTGGAAGGTATTTGCACGACGTTGAAAGTTTATTTCCCTTAATTTAATAATGATTATAGAATCCCCTAAGGGTTTTGATATAACAATTCATATCTAATTTTTATACTTAAGAAGATTTGAAAATGAAACATACATGAATAATAGAAGGTGTATTAAAACATCATTGCAATAATCTTAAGCAGATAGAATGGTAGTTTGCTGGTAATAAAATGTAGAAATATTTTGGAGGCCAGATCTTTGTGAATCATTACAAATAATATGGTTTGAGCAAAAGGTGACAGTTGCTACTAATAGAAGCAGAAAGGTATATCATTAAACAGTTTTATCTTGAGATTACAATGTTTTGTATAATAATTAACAACCAGATGCTTAGCTAAGAAGAATTATACAATTATACACATGATCAAATACATTCTACAAGGACAGAATTATTCTGATATCAAAGTGAAATAAATAAACAATAAGTGGGTCAACTACATACAGCTTCATATCTGAGAGATGCAAACTCCTCAATAAAATACCAGGCAACCAAATCCAACAGAATCTGTAAATATTTCTCACTGTGTTGAACTAACATTCATTTCAGGGGTATAAAGATGATTCAGCATCAACACATAAACAAATTGGATGCTTCACGCCAACACAGTGAAGAAAACAAAGCATTCCATATCAGTGGGTGTAGAAAAAGCACTTGATTGAAGTCAATGTTGTTTATTCACAAAAATACTAAGCATGTGGCATATAGAAGGACAAAATCAACAGAACAAATGTTATACATAATAAGTCAATAGTAAATATACTACTAAACAGATGAGTACCAAAAGTTTTCACTCTGACTTCTACAAGAATGCACAGTGCTCACTTTCAACACTTAACTTCATCAGAGTAGTAGTTGTGCAATGAATGGAGTATTTAAGAGAAAGATTTAAGGCAACCTAAGATAAGTGGAGAATATCACATTGTATTTGTTTCAGATGGTATACATAAGTGTATAGGATATGCAGATATAGAAGTGAAAATATATTCATCTAACAGCAGTGATAATATAAATACTTCTTATATATTCCCCAATGATTCCACTAGAAAACTAATAAAGCTTATGAAAAATTGAGCATTTGAAAATCAAAACGAAACCATAAAAGAATGGCTAGCAAAGATTTATGCTAATAATTATGAGAAAATAATTAAATTGGTAATTGGCATAATAATAATATTAATAATAATAATAATATTATTATGCCAAGGCACTGAAAAGTCCTACAATGAAAACTAAAATTTTGATGAAAACAAGTCAACAATAAAAGTGTGAAATATATCTTATCTTTATAGAATAGAAGCTCTAAAATTATTAAATTGTTATGCTCTCAAAGCAGACTCTAGGAATGACACAAATTTGCCAATGATGAGCCTATGTGTGTGTGTGTTTCATTGTGTGTGTGTGTGTGTGTGTGTGTGTGTGTGTGTGTGTGTGTGTGTGTTTGCAAAAATAAAGCAAAACAATCACACAAAACACATACAGTAAGGTGCATTGTGAGACTAACATGCTGCCTACTGTGCTAATTAGGCAAGTGTACCTTGCATTATGATACTTGATCTTAAAGTATAATTCCAAGCTGTACTAATCCAAACAGCTTGCTACTCACATAAAAACAAGATATTTCCATGATAAAAGAGCATGGGGGAAGGAAAGGAAAGCCACATATATATTGCCAAATTATTTCAACAATTTGCTAAGTACAATAACTAGACGTATGACAACCTTTTCAATTAAATTGCTGGTAAAAAAATTAGTACATGCTTGAAGAGAAGTAAACCTAAGTTGCCATTCTGCATCTGTTAAATGGAATAATAAAAATTAGCAAAGAATTTTAAATGTTACCTGTCAGTGTGAGGCAAAGTCTCAATATATTAAACTTTTTGAAGAGCAAGAAATCAAAAGTAAAGGAACCCAAAGCAAAAAAGATGCTGCAGTGTTTTACCAAGCCAAAAACAAAATGCACTGCACAGAAAAGTAGATAATCCCAGGAAAAGGAGATGTTCATAACTTATACAATGTGGGAATTCATACACATGCTATTCCTCTAACATGTATGTATATATACAGGACAGGCAAAATCCAAGTGGTATTTAAAAAAAAGTAAATAAACTAGAAAAAATGGTTTTACATTGACAAGATATCTATACAGACATGTCTCTTATTTTCTTTTTATTGATATTGTGTCTTTTAAAACTATATAAAATTATTTTTAGTTTTGAATTTACATAATTACATCATTTTGCCCTCCCCATTCTTCCTTCCAAAACACCACATACACCCATCGTAGTTCTCTTCATGACCTGCTCTTTTATTAATTGTTATTTCATAATGCATCCAAAAAGTAGCAAGTACATGAAAAGAAGTGCAATGTTACTAGTCACAAATAAGACTCAAGTAACAACCATGAGCTATCACTTCCTTCCCAGAAAGAACATAAAAAGATATTATCAAACAACGAAAGGCAACTGCACAAAGCATAGCACACCTGCTATCCCAGCAATTAAGAGGCTGAGACAGAGGATCAGGTGTGTGAGACTGTAGTGGCTACATAATGAGACATTTTATACACATAAAATAATAGTAAAAAGGAAAGAAAAAGAAAGAAACGAAAATTTGAAAAAGTGTGGATGAGGAAGTAGGGATATGTGATCTCCGGCATATTGTTAGAGAGAAAGTAAATTAGTGCACTCATTACAGAGAACCATATGGAGGTACCTCAAAAATGAGAAGTGTAGCTACTCTATTACCTGGCAATTTCACTGCCTGCTGGATATATAATCAAGAAAGTCAGTACGTTGTAAGACACCTGCCCTCAGACATAAAGGCATCATTATTCAAAGTATTCAAAAAAGGGAAATCATTTAAAATTTCATAAACTGATGATCTAGGAAAATCCAGTGGACATTCACAAAAGAATACTGTTTAGTCACAGAAATGAATGGATCCAGTCACTTGCAACAACAGGCACTGAGCTATGGGATACTTGCCTAAAGCCAGACATAGACAGACACTTGTTTCACTTTCTTACTCCTCTGTGGTTCACCAGGAACACCAATTTCCTGAAAGTTGAAGGTATTCTATGGTTTTCAGAAGCCGGAGCTGTATGCTGAAGGCTGATTGATGGACACTAAGTCTCAGGGTCAAGATTTGCTGCTGTTCTATTGCACAGTGGATCAGCAACCACCCAATGCACTGTGCATTTCAAAATGCTAGAGAGGAGATTTGAAAAGAAGTTTTTTGTTTGTTTGTTTGTCTGTTTGTTTTTAACCAAAAAAGAGGGTTGTTAATACATGGAGATATGCCTGCCGAAAGAACTTGGATACACACACACACACACACACACACACACACACACACACACACACACACACACGGTGTAATGTAAAATAAACCTGAAATTTGTAATAATTTTATTTGTGAACATGGTACATATGGAAGCGATGGGACAACATGGGGCCTTTCTCTATATCTGTCATATCTGCTCTGGGAAGTGAACCAGGCTATCAAGATTGATGGAAGAATATTCATATTCTAAGCCATCTCATTAATTCTAAATGCAGAAATATGATTAGAATTTGACTTAATCCATGAGGATTAAGTCAGAGAGAGGAATGAAACAAAATTCATGAACAAGTGAAAAGAACAAACAGCAAATAGAAGACAGAAAGGGGTCTTTTTTTCATTAACATAGAAAATAATGTAGAAAATAAGGTCATAGCTGAAATAGGATATTTACTCCAGAAATATTTTTCTAACAATATTTTGAATCTAAAACATGTCCAATGCCAAATAGTAAGTCATGAAAACACATATACAAGTAACATTTTTTGGACCACTCAGAGTATTTTTAGGAATATATGTATAGATATAGATACATATATAAAGATACATATATAGATACATGCAATAGCAATTGGTGGGAAAAAAAGACAACAAGGCCTGGGGTTGGTGGCGCATGCCTTTAGTCCCAGCTCTCAGGAGGCAGAGGCAGGTGGATCTCTGTGAGTTCGAGACCAGCCTGGTCTACAAGAGATAGTTCCAGGACAGGCTCCAAA